GCCAGGGCAGTCAGTATGTCCTCTATGGCTACGTTGTCCACCGCGGCCGCCGTACCTCGGGCAAGTTCTTCAGCATTCTTCGCCCAGCCGGCCCGGGCACCCCATGGCTTGCCTTCGATGACGGCAGCGACAACCGTGTAGAGTGCTTGACTCAAAAGACTGCCATGGGCCCCCATCTTGGTCTCGAATCTTCTCAATCTGTCGACTACAAGAAGGGGCACGATGTACCCGTCGTTGCCATGTATGTCCGTGGCGACATGATTTCAGAGCTGTTGCCTGGCCCTCAGGGCCCTTGGGAGGCGTCCGAAGCCTTGAAGCGGTACTACGAAACTGGCGTGTACCAGGCTGGGGAGAAGCCTGCCGAAGATGTCCAGGTTGAGGTTTATTCGCTACCAGAGTATGATCAGTTGACGAGCCTGTTTGACACCTACGATCTCATGGCGCAAGCTAAGGCGATAAAGAGTGTCATGTATATGACTCTGCCCCGTTCGTCACGGCTGGTAGACCTGCGCAAGAAGATCGCGCTATGGAAATCTGCAAGCTCTGAGCCAATTGGCCCTGAACGGATCCGTTTCTGGCAGATAGGGGACTCCTCAGCTCCATCTGGATCATCGCTGGTATTTGATAGTACTGCCAATTTGGATGTTCCACTCGATTCTTCACTGAGCACCATCCGTTTCTGGATGCAAACTATCTCAGAGGGTAAGTGGAGGCAGATTATTCATTTTAATATTATCACCATCCAGCTAACAGTTGTTTTAGAGGACGCTCAATTCTTCGCAATCCCCGACCCTCCTACAGTTGCCACTGCAGACGACAAGACCGATGATAGCATTGTTGGAGTCTCAATACCTGGAGCCTCTGCTAATGTGTCGTCTGTAGCAGAAGGTGATGCCATTGCTAGCTCATCAGGAAACTCCCGCCGGCAGCCAGATATCACCTCTGAACCTGTGCCCTCAGATGAATCACTTCTGTTGGCCACTCCGTCCCAGGAGAATGATGCCATTTCAGCTGAGAGGGCAGAGCGTGAAATGGTACTCGCTGTGGCTACTGCTCACGACCAAGAAGCCGCGGTTGCTGGTTCGGCCACTTCAACAATCGAAACCACCGATTATTCTCCCACTCCAGCCTCTGCGGCCGAACAACGCTCGACAGAATCTGCGCCTCAGGCACCAACTGTCCCTGAAGTTAAGGTGCCTGTTGGTCATGCATACTACTTCATTCAAATGTTCGATGCGGACAATCAGGTCCTCCGCACTGTTGGCTCGTTCTTCTCAAAGCTCGATTCCAACGTCAAAGCATCGATCAGGCGCCATTTGAAGAGAGGTATTCGTCAAGATTTCCTCATGTGGAAGCGAGTTGATGGCGCCAATGTCACCACGGTCTCGCCAGCGGACACGTTCGAAGATGTGGTGGTTCCCCACGGAGCCTGCTTCATCGTCGGAGACAAGTTGGCTAAAGACAAGTGAGTATAAATCCCATGAATACACACAAGTTTATCAATTCTAATGCAAAATACAGGCGCTCTCAACTTGCTTCTGCGGGATCGTTCACTAGTCCTGACCGTCTAGTTCAGTACTTGTGGGCAGACTCTCGCCGTCATCCCATCCAGGGCTTCACCGGAAGCAAGACCATCGAAGCCACCTTCACAAACGATTATTATAGTGGTGACTTCCTCAAGGGGTACCACCATGGTAAGGGCACACACATATCCAGCACGGGCATGGTCTACAGAGGGGACTTCGTTTTCGGCCGACGTCACGGACAAGGAAAGCTTGACTATCCCACTGGCGACTCCTACGACGGTGACTGGGTCGAGGATGTCTGCCACGGGCAAGGCACCTATATCGAAAAGACCACTGGCAACAAGTACGTGGGTGGCTTCAAGGACGGCAAGCGCCATGGCAAAGGTATCAGCTACTGGGAAGTGGCCGATGCAGAGTTGGATCTATGCCAGATCTGCTACACCGAAGAAATGGACGCAGTCTTCGCTGATTGTGGCCATTTCTGCTCCTGTGTGACTTGCGCGAACCTCGTCAGTCTCTGCCCGATGTGTCGCAAAGATGTCAAAAAGGTTATCAAGATTTATCGTGCATGAGATATCTGCTTGGCACGGAGTATAAAGGGACAGTTGCGTTTTGGTTTGAACTTTTTCGCGTGAAGAACACATTTGCATCCATTGATATTTTTAGCGAGCAGTGATTCTAGATGGGGAGTTGCGATTTCATTCTATTCCCTCATTTTGGTTATATACGGATGCCACCTATTTGTGGTTATAGATCGTTGATAGATTCAGCACAATCATTACAGTCGTTTACATTTACATTGCACTTGTTTCATTTTTGAAACACAGTTTGATCTTGATTGAACAAAAGGTATATCCAATGCGCCGGGCCCCGCCCTAATACATGATGCTTTTTGACTTGCCCGAAGAAAACTATACACACACAGAGAAATAGACGATCAGCTCATTGATCATTTGCTAGCCTTCTTGGCCTTCTTATCCTTCTTCTCGCCTTTTTCCTTGGCCTCGGTCTTCTTCTCTTCCTTGGACTTGGTCACAGGCTTCTTGTCTTCCTTGCCCTTGACCACAGTCTTCTTCTCGCCCTTTCCTTCATTAGTAGACTTCTTGGAGGCAGCAGTCTTGTTCTCTTCCTCCTTGGTTGGGGGAACCGACTCGCTAGTCTTGGGTGCGGCCTCTGAGTTGCTCTTCTTAGGCTTGTTCAGGACTCCCTTGGGGTTAAGACCCTTGCGACGGATACGGTTGCGCTCAGCACGAGCAATACGCTCAGTGTCCTCGGGATCCTCGAAAGAAGCGAAGGCACCGCCCTCGAAGTCGGCAGCGTCGCCATTCTCATCGACAATGGGGGTCTTGTCGTACACCTCGTCGTCGTCTGTGGACGCGGCTGAGGCAGCACTTCGAGCAGACTTGGAGCCAGACTTGGCGGGCGCGGAGGAGGCAGAATCATCTGTCTTGGAAACGGGAGTCACGGCGGTCTTCTTAAGCTTGCAGACGTAGAAACCGTCGACGTTCTCGCGATGGGGGAAATAGCGGCGAGTAAGTGCCATCTTGGCATCGAACTTCTTGCCCATGTAGCTGAGGAAACCGGGGCTACCGAAGTCCCCAAGACCAGTGTCGACAATCTTGACGTTGGGGCGCTTGCGCAGGACGTACTGCACAACAGCCTCGTTCTCTTCCACTGTGACACTGCAAGTGGAGTAGACAATGTATCCACCGGTCTTAGAAGCGTGGTCGACGGAGTCAATGGCGGCCAGAAGAAGCTGACGCTGCATGTGAGGGATGGCAAGGAAATCGCGCTCGTTCTTAGAGGTCTTGACGCCGGGGTCCTTGGAAATAACACCGGTACCGGTGCAAGGAGCATCGAGCAGAACACGATCGAAACCACCCAGAGCCTTGGGGAAGGCAGTCCGGGCATCCATGTGCGTCACGACGGTGTTCTTGCAGCCGAGACGGTGAATGTTACCAATCAAACCCTTGGCACGGGGCTTACTGGCATCGTTTGCGATGACACAGCCAGTGTTGCGCATCAGAGCGGACATGTATGTTGTCTTACCACCGGGCGCAGAGGCCATATCGAGAACTCGCTCATTAGGCTGAGGAGCGAGAGCCATGACGGGGAGGAAAGATGAAGCAGCCTGGAGAATGTAGTGACCGGCCAGGTACTCGGGCGTGGCACCCAGAGGGACGGGAGACTCGAAGACCTGCAGACCGACCTTGGACCACTTGCCAACGGGCTCGAGGACAACACCACGGTTAATAAGGGCCTGGGCGAGGGAGCGACGGTTGGTTCGTAGAGTGTTGGTACGAATAACGACGGGGCGAGGAGTCTCGTTGGCTTCGAAGAAGGCAAAGGCCTCCATGGGGGTGAATAGGTTGAACAGCTTCTCGGCGAGGAACCGAGTGTAACCGTAGTACGTGCAGATATCGTTGAGGAGAAGATCGATGTAGTCGGCACGCGACTTGCCGGCTTGGCCGAGAGTCTTCAGGTCGCCCATGATGCGAATGGTGTCGGTAATGCGCTGGCGAAGCAATTGCAGGTCAGGTGCGAGTCCCTGCTGGCTTTGGTCGGCGAACACATCGGGACCGGCGATGTTAGTCTGCAAAGCGGCCTCCTGCAATTCAGCCTCGGCCTCCTCTTCCTCTGCCTGCTGCTCAAGATCCAATTTCCGGGACAGACCCTCGATGTTGGCGGCGGTCAATCTCTCCTCGGCATCAGACATGTCCTCGTCGTCAGAGAACATAGCTTCGCGAGTATGGCCTTCATCGTCGGAGTCGATAACGGAGTTGTCATCGTCATCTTCCAGATCGGAGAGACCCTCAACCCGGTCGTCGCTATCCATTGAACCTTCACTGACTCCATCAAGGTCACCAAATTCTTCATCGTCGAGATCCTCCATATCCTCGTCATCGTCGGACATAGGCACAGGAACAGGCTTAGGCTTAGTCGATTGCTTCTTCTTGTCGGCCTTGACAGGCTTAGTAGGTGCGACATTGGCGGCGGCGTTGACCTTCTTCTTCTTCGGGGCATCTTTCTTCGTCACAGGCTCATCGGCGTCGGATCTCCGACGCTTCGCCGATGCAGCTTTCGGAGGCGCCTCAGCACTGCCAGACTTCCGCTTCTTGAGCATTGTGATTTTCGACTCGTCGAGCGGGGCCGGAGGGCCCTGCTTCTTCATACGGCGACCGACACCCATTGTGAAAGATTGGCGTGTATGGAAACGTTTGGTATGTCTGCGTCTTGGGAGCTGCGATTTCTTCCCGTCTTTTTTTTTTCTTCGAGCGGTGAATGGCGGCAGTAAGAAAAGTACAGAAGGCGGTGTGAGATAGATGTTTCGGCCTGGAGAATTAGGTGTCGACACAGACTGAACAGCTGCGGAACTGCGAACAACAACATCCACTTCTCCAGCTTCCCCATATTTGGTTCTTCTTCTTGTTATTCATTTTGAAGATCTCAACTAGTCTCCGTACATCACTCGCCATGTCGGAACTGACATTTACCAAGTCCTTCTTGTCCACACTGGACTCCCGACCTATCAAGCTCCGCGCTGACCATGTATTCGATCCGGAGCAGGTTGGACTTCGGGTTCCTGTAAGTTTTGATTGCGATGCTTCACTCAATATCATCTACGGAAGAACTTCATTCTGATGCCTTTATGTAAATACAGTACACTCTCCCCCGCCTCTCAGCCCCGCACCCCCCAATGCCCAAGAAAGTGAAGTCCGCACAGGCACCAGGCTCGTCGAAATCGATCAATGTCTGTATGAAGTCTGCTCGCAATCCCGCCCTCGAATTCACCATCTCCAACGCCCCTATCTCAACCACCTCGATCCAAGATCTCCGGGATGCCGTGCAAGCGCGCGTCACCGATGCCCAAGGCGGACAAGTTCCATTAGACAAGATTAAGATCCTGTACAAGCGCAAGCCAGTGACCGGAACAGGAAAGACCCTGGCGGAGGTATTAGCAGACGAGCCTGCAGTTTTGGCAGGTGGCAAGGCAGTCGAGATTGGAGTGATGATTATTGGCGGCGCCCAAGTAATCAACTCTGCAGTGGCCCAGCCGGAGGTGGAGGAGAAGCGGGATGAATCGCCGCCTAAGGCTGCTGTTGGTCCCAGTGGCGAGGAGGTTCTGCGGACGGATGCTTTCTGGGATGATCTGCAAGGTTACCTGGAGCAGCGATTGAAGGACGAAGAAGAGGCGAAGCGGCTGAGATCGCTTTTCAAGGATGCATGGAGCTCGGCGAAATAAGATCACATATGCATGAAAGCACGGACTTGAAATAATGCCAATATCAAATGATACCTCCTTTTGCTACAGTTGTGTTCCATCACGGAGAACTTTTAACATCTGTGTCGTTTTCTACGGTCTAACCAAAGGGAATAAATAATATTCAATCCATCCGGGTATGATTTCAAATGTTATACACATACAAGTCGATATGTCGTTGTCCAAGGCACAGGCAAGACACCAAGCAGAACGGAAATCCCCGTACACCATAAACAACACAAAAATCCAGATCATATCAAAAGCCTATCAAGTTGCACTTGGGACTCAAGCAAGATCTCATCACAGACACAAAGACAACAGCACTCAAGTCAAGATCTGTTCCAATCCGCATAGAAGCTGAACATGTACCGAAGCAGTAACTTTATAGGGAACAAAACATTGACATACGCCAGGGAATCACTGTGAAACGGCATGCTATCGTCGAAGTATAAAGTACATATTTCGAAGAAGAGAAAAATCACGTAGAAAAGTATCATGTGCCATGCAGCTTGGAACACCGTCGTAAATGCTCGAACTGGTCCGGCCAATCGCTTATCTGGGTCATGGGATCATATAGCAAACGACGAGAGGAAGGTGAGGAAATACACAAAGGAGAGAATCATACACGGGATTCACCTCACCGTTTGAATTATCGTGAGAAGACCTTGACCACGCCGTCCCCGCCGCCGCTGACAACCCAACGGCTGTCACGGCTCCAGACCACGGCGCATACACCTTCACCACGCATCAGTCGGTGGCTTGTCAGCTCCTGGGTACAGCTGCGCTTCTCAAGGTTCCAGAAGCGCAGGCTTGCGTCATGGCCAGCTGAAACAAGCTCGCGTCCATCGGGGGACAATGACATCGCGGCAATTGCTGCAGGATGAGCCAGCATGGTATATGTGCATTGACCTACATCATGAAGGGTTAGCATATTGTTTGAGGTAAACTGGGCGTTGATACTCACCACTGTTGGCATCAAAGAACCGAATGTATCGATCCTCGTAACCACTGATGATCACGCCCTCAATGCTACTGGATCCAGTAGCACCGTGGACTACCTCTTCCTCGCCCATTGTCCGGTTAGGGTCCAAGCTAGCGGTTCCATCGAAGCCGATGGTGGTGGTGACGACGGAGTTCACACCAGTAGAAGGCGTGCCATCGTACGTCTCGAGACTCGCCATTCCCACGATTTCTTCGCCGGTCCGGGTGTCGTAGACAAGGATAGAGGCATCCGAGTATGAGACAACAAAGTTGACGCCTGCAAGAGACAGGGGGCTAATGCATGTTGAAGCGGGAGATTCAGCGCGGCAAATGTGATGAACAAGGGTGTAATGGAAGGGTGTGGTTGTAGCGACACTGGGCTGAGGAGAAGATGGGAAGTTGGAACCGGAGGATATGGAGTTCGCCCGACGGCTTCCACCTTGACGGCGGGATCCAGCCGGAGGTGATGAGATTTGAGGAGGAGCGCTGACAGCCCAGATCAGGATGCGACCATCCGCTGCACTGGAGGCTAGCAGGATCCGATCCGGTCCACCGTACTGGTTGCTTGAGTCACCAAAGACGGATCCCACGGTACCTGGGAGAACACAAAGTCCCCAGACTGCCTCTTTGTGTCCGTCCAAAGTGGCTTTAGGGTCAACGCGCCCACGCTCCCACACGCGCACACTGGCGTCTTGGCCACCTGAAAATACCCATCCGTCGCCCAAAACACGGCCGCCGTTGGAGATATTTTGTGATGGGGAACAAGCAGCAAGCGAGGTTACTGCACCTTCATGTCCACGGTGAGTGAAGTAGCTGGTAATATCCAAGTCATTGCTGGAACCAGGGCCATGGGCTCCAAAGCCGCCATAGGTGGCTGGGATAATCCATCGCTTGATCGTTCCGTCGTCACTGCAAGTGCAAATCTCGGGTTCTGAAGGGCTACCGCCACCAGTGAAGATGACAGACCGAATCACATCTAAGTGACCGCGTAAGGCAAAGCGGACCTTGAAGTTCGAATCCTGCTGCTGTCCAAAGGTCGCACCCGCTTCGCGAGCGTCGATTGCACCGTCGCTCTTTCGCCTTGATCCGGATCCCTTCCTTCGGTGGGGGAGAGATCCGCTCTTAGACTCCTCGGAGCGTACAAAATTAGCATTGGGGAAGGCATCAGTATCAGGCCGGTGGGGCGGGATGGGCTCGCTTGCCGGCTCTGGCTCTGCGGGTTCATCGAAGTTCCAGCCATCCACATCCTCGGTCTTTTCCTCTTTCTGGTTCTGTGGGTTCACGTCTTCCTTGGGAACTACTTGAGGCCCCGGGACCTCATATGCCTGGTTTTGGCGATCATCAACCAGGCCCTGTTCGTATGTGTGGTTCCGGTTGTCGATCGCCGGGATAGGAGCTTGTTGATGTTCTAGCTGGCGTCGATCCATGTTATCCCGGGGCATATAGTGGTTCTGACCTCCAGCCATAGCATTGTCAGAGTAGTGGTTGGACACAGGCTGGTGGTTCTGTACAGCCATTTCGCGCGCCATAACATGATTCGATTTTTGGCGTTGCTGTTGGATAAATGCCTCTTCCAGATTCTGTTGCGACAGCTGTTGATTGCCGTAGAGATTACTGGAAAGATCGGAGTCGTTGAGATCAAGGGGCGGGTGAGACGAAGGAATGACATGGTACGCGATTTCGTGCGAAGCCTTGGACAAGAAGCCTCGAACCTTATCTAGGTCATCTTCCGATGGGTTTTTGTGCAGATTTGTGTTGGCGGGATCCTGGTCATTCTCGAGGGACGGGCTTGGCTGGGAGCGTTGAGCTGATGAACAATCCAGTTAGTACTCAGGACACGTTCTCTGGTAAAATTCCAAGTCACCTACCTCTCAAGAAATTAACGCTCTCACGCGCCGCCTCTTTGGGGTCCTTCACGTCCTCAATCGATTCGTTGTTGGAGAGCTTCTTCACCTTCTCTCTTTCCCTCTTGAGCGCCGTCTCCATCAGCCGAACATGCTTGCCAAGAGACTCGTGTAGGCGCTTGCTCGTTCGTAGGTCTCCCTCCAGTCTGCCAATGCGAGACTTCATCTCCGCACGTTCGATCTCCCAGGCGTTGCGGTCGCGCTCGTGTCGGTGCCATTCCGTCTGCAGGAAGCGCATAACACCTAGGTACAGACATGGGTCAATGGCAATCCAGAAAGTACATCAATCCTAACTAACCTTGCAATGTGTATTCCGTCCCCTGTGGACCCCCATTCGAGTCACCCATCGCACCGGGCATTCCTCCGACCCCAGCCATAGCTGATGAGGATTGCCAAGACATGAACGGTTTCAGGACAGTCCAGGCCCGGGGAGTTAAATGTGATGTAGGAGATGCCGAAGGCGAAGCAGGCCACCTAACAGTGGGTGAATCGGTCGGCCGTCAAGGTGAGGTGTGAGCTTCGGTTCTCCTGATTCCCGTAAATCGTATCCGCGGTAAGCGAGTCAAGAGTCCCCGAATGGGCGACAACAGCAAGGAACCGCGTTCCACGCCGAGTCAGCCTGTGGGTAGTGGGGTCCTAAGGAAGAAGATCCAAAGGAGACGAGGGAGGTGAAGCAATCGAGTTGAAGATGAACGTGCCTTCTTTTGTTATGGTCAAGGTGGTTTGGCTGGTTTGGCTGGGGTGAGCTGACCGCCTGCTGAATGGGGAAATATGAGAGAGTCGAGACGACGAGCTGACCACGTTTTTGAGGTTCTCACGACAAGAAGCTCAAGAAAGAGTAAGTGAAATTTGTTGTGCAAAGTTACTGAAGGAGGTCAGGAAGAAAAAAATAAAAAATATGTGAGCTTGATATCACTATTGGTGCCTGATATCTCAGTCACCATTTTTACGATCCTCTCTGTATGCAGGCTATCTATGTAACGACTGTTTGCTCTACTGTATGAGATTTTAAGGTGACTTGCAGGTCTCAATATCAATGTCAATGTTCTCAAATTGCCTCGTTGGGTCAATCACCTGGTTCAATCCTAACTTGCGCCATCTATATATCTTGATGGGATGTACATTCAAGAAAGTTCTCTGTTTGCACAACCACCCTTTTGCCCCAAACATTAAGAGTATTATATCTGCACGGTAAGTAAATAATGCCGGATACATTCTGCACGGAGGATGTAACTTATACTAGGAGACGAGACTTGACTAGATAACAGATCCGCAGATCATGATAAATTCGAAATTTACATTGCTCGTGGCCTCATGAATAATGCTATGGTACACCTCGCTTTTAGAACTCGAGTTCTTCCACCTCCATCCCACAGTCTACGCACGTTTTGACACCGATCCCAGTCTCTGGATTGTCAACCGACCGACCCCATTGATGAACATGTTTCCTCCCGGAGCCGAGATCGTCGCCGAATTCTCCTCCAGCAGCGCCTTGCCGATTGCGTCGGTATGCCTCCACGCGCGTGCGCTTCTTGAGGTCCTGCAGTTTGGTTTTGAATTTAGCCTCCCGCCGTCGCTTCTTGTCATTTTCCCGCCGTTCGAACTCGGCGTCTAGTGCCTCTGTCGAGCCCCATTTCTTCTCTGAAAATGCGTACTCCTCCACTTGGTATCGTAGATATAGCATCATGCTGTTCCATGTAGACTTGTGTGGGTTAGGACGCTCCAAACGGGGAAGTAGCTCTTCATCTCGGAGTTCAGCTGTAGAAGCTGGTCAGTAATCGCTCATGTTAAACACAATCGGTATAAGAACTCACGATCTGTGAGGAGATAATCTTCTTTGGCTTCGGTCTTAGTCAACAAACTGTATTTCTCAGGGTGTTTCTCTTTGCAGGAATGGCAGATGCAACACTTTAGTTCTTCTTCCCATTTCCAGTCAATCTCAATACTACCACATTCGCGGCATTTTTTTTGCTTGCTTTTATCATCCAGCACGCTTAGACCGGGTTCGAAAGGCCCTTCACGGTTCCGCCTTAGGGTTTGAAGTATTTGGTGGCGTTCCCATTCCTTTTGTGTCATATTTGCAGGTTTTTGTTCCTCCTTATCATCTTTGACATGAAGTTGCTTGTTAAATGGGTCATCTTCCTGGGTCAAGAATCCACCCTTCGTATCGGTCATTTTGCTAAAGTCATAGTCGACATAGCTTGTAAAATTGCGGGCTGGCCTGATCGAATCCGGGCGATCTGATGAAGTGTTTGCGCGAGCATCGCGCACGTTCGCAGGCTGATTGGATGCCGTCATAGTAGCGAACGAGCGCTTGGCTCCTTGAGCGGATTGCGAGGCACGAGGAGCAGCTTGGGCCAGTTCGGCTTCGCGCTGTTCTCGGAGAGCTTTTGCCTTCATGCGGTTAATTTCCTACCAGCAACTGCGTTAGTATGAGCTGACCGTGGGTCATATTCATCCTTTCGCAAAAGAACTCACCATCCTGCGCTTCTGTTCTGGAGTGATCGGACCGCGGGGAAGTACTCCTGCCCCAGAGCCCTCAGGCTGTGGAGGTGGAGTCGAAGGTCGTTCTGACATTTCAAGGTTGATCTCGAGAAGTTCCCTGCTGGCCCTTGTCTGGAGTGATCAAGAAGATTAAAGATTCAAGGCGGAAGGCCAGACCCCGATCTGCCGCATCACGTGAATCCCCCAATTAACACGACGTCATTGGTATAGGAGTAAAAGCATCAATACATGTAAACAGATCAAGTTGAACTGAGATAATTTGATTATTCCAATCTATGAGTCTGCCACCGGGTAATCGAAGTCATCCTCACGATCCTGGCCATATAAAACCTCACATACGCCCCCTACCGGCACATCCATGACTGCGTCTGTTCCTTCACTCCAGATTTCGCGCCAATTGACTTTGCGATTTTGGGGGCCCATGATCTGATAAGAGGTAGCACCTGGTTTCATTTTGGATGCACCGCCAGGCCGCCGCCGCGCCTTTCCATCAATGACAGATACATTCGCAACCTCATCAACAATATTCTCGATGCTGTTCATAGGCAATGTGAGGTAGCCAGTGTTGTATGCGGCGAGCGCAACGTAAATATATATCAAGAGCATCACCAGCCATGCTGGGATCGCCAGCGACCACCAACGGTTGGGGTAATAGTAGATGCCGAGTTGGTGAAGGAATGGGGAGGGGAGATAAGACCAGAGGAGATAGAATACTGGATTGGGCCGTTAGCATACGCACCACCGCGGAACCGCGAGATATGATATCCATGAGACTTACAGAAAGCTAACGAAGAAGCCAAGTATAACACGAAGCCGTAGTACTCATAGGTGGGTACTTTAGGACTGGCGCGTGGCACGGTCGTTGCGCGACGAGCTGACTTGGCGACCGCCGCCTCGGTATCGTTTGGTGTCTCTACATCTGAGCTGTCTGGGGTGGTTGGGCGCGACGTAGTAGTCGAGAAGGGTGGGCGGAGAAGAGACGTGAGTGACGGAGAAGGTGGTAGAGGGGTCGGCGGGCGGTTGTAGAATGGCGGTGCAAATGCATTCGGGCCATGAAGAGAGCTGGAAGATTGGCGGAATGGATGATGTCGACCAATGTTTTCAGAAGATTCATCTGAATCAGAATCCGAGAACGATTGGTGTTCTAATGAGTAATGAGACTGGAAGTCTGCATCGTCTTCCACCTCGATCTCCTCATAGCCGGGGGAGATTACGCTCTCGTCATAGCTTTCTTGGGGGTCATCGGGGGATCCAGGACCATCGGCCAGCAATGGAAAGGGCTGCTTATCCTCAAAGGATGAATTGAACGAGTCCATCAGTGAAGTGAAGAGTTGTTGGCGTCTCCCCTTTTCTGCAATCGCCAGTCGTTCACCGCTCCCCACTGAGCTCCACCTCCCCACTCTTCCAGAGGCTCAACAGCCTTTTACTGTACAGTTCTTCCATTATCCTCTACAGTTGCCTAATTCAATTCAAAAAGGGTTAGATCCCACAGAATATGATTCATGGTCGAGAGGACCTTGAGATTGGACATTACGACCCCCTTGGGGAGAGAATTCCCACCAGTACCAACATCCAAGCTTCTATAGTTGACGATTGCTGATCGTTGTGCTTGCTCAAAGTGTTGAATATGGCTGGTCTACCCAGAAGCGCTTTCAAAAGTATTTTCCTCTTCCAAAAGATTCTTCTCCTCTGATCCTATTCACAATAGAACAGTTTGGTCGCCACTAGACAAAGAAGTTTTGGAGCCAAGCTTGACAATGGCAAATACATCAGGCCCATTATTCTCCCTGGCACACCGTACGAGGATTTTTCCATATATCTATAATAAGCGGTTTAGCTAGGCAATTGAGTAATATACTCCTTTCAAATTCTTAATGATGTGTGATGTCGGACGATCCGACAGTGCTATGCGATAGTCTGCCAAACACGGTCATTTTCATGTTTAAAAACCAGGTATGACCCGTCCAATTCCTATCTCAGGACTTTGGTCACCAAGAAACATTAACTTTCGTATATCAATTCAATTTTCCATCAAAACACGGCTGTCATATTGTACACCTTCAGGTTGTCCGAAACCGCCTGGACCATATTTTGGATCTTCTTTGCGGACGGAAATTTCTTACCAAAAGCCTCTAGCAACTCCAGTGCTAATTCCAAATCATCTGCTGCCTTAGAATTATCCCAAACCAAAGAAAGCTGCTCGCGCTGTGCAGTGGCCGTATACATAAGGGACAGCACAGAGTTGAACACAGTGACCAAGTTAAGCCAATTATAGGCAATCCGGTGCTGTCTACGCAAATTGATCGCTTGGCGAATGGCCATACCAGATGCCTCGGCTAGAATCTTCAGATTTTGAACGTCCAGTGTTGGACACAAGGGAGATGGTCGGTACAACATGATGACATGTGTGTAGTAGTTCAAATCAAACCAGCTGGTGCAGAGATGAGGCACTTTGGATTGTAGGTCTGGCAGAGGGAATGGCATATTGCGACGCCATTCTATAAGTCTTTTGTGGAGACTTTGAACAGTTTCCGTTCTTTCCTCTGGGCTTTGTCGCTCGCTATATCTTGCTGAATGTACTTGACTTCCAATATCACTTGCAATTCTGCGAAGCGCAAGGATATGGAGAGGGACTGCCATGGTCGATGGCTCCAATGTTGACGATGAAGTGATACCATCTGACTGGATATTTTCATCATTTGCGCTTGCAAAAGGCTAGAGAATAATTAGCGAAGAACCAGAAAAAGCATAATGTGAGATTGGAGATACCCCAACAGTAATGTCATCATCTTGTATAGCAAAGGGTCGACCCAAAGCCAAAGAAACCACACTTGGAATAGATTAGCTTTAGGTTCGAGGCGCCACCGAAGTAAACATACCGATCCATCATGTAAAGAGAGAAGAAGAGTCGCTTTTGCTGTTCAGAGACATCCACAGCTAGAGAATGGTAGATCTCTGCGGTATGAAGCCCCATGCCGGTTGCCATACGAGCTGCAACCCCTACCAGGAACCAGGTATCTAGCCGATGTTAGATGGATATTCCGCTGAGGTAGATTTAGGCATTACATACTGGGTCCAATCTTATTGAAAAAAGAGTAAGAAACTTGAAGCATCAAAACTTCCAAACCGCCCTGATCGCATGAGACAATTAGAATCGTTCTCCGGAAAGTGATGGCATCGAACTCACCAGATCCCCACATCCCATTGCGGCTTCAAAGTATGTCATCGCTTTATTGAAGAACTGGACTGATTCGGATTCATCCATCAAGGATACTGAACAATATGTCGTTGATCCGATCGCTAAGACCATCCAGATCCTGAATTGCCATAACGGCGATTGAGCCAAGGGATCCAAGGGGTCGCCATACACCCTCCACAGCACAGATTTGAATTCATTTTGGCGGATAATCGGATAAAGAGTGTGTGAGTGAGCGAAATAGAACTCCAATATGTAACTGATATGGGATGGTTCCAGTAATGCCAGATCCATCGAGTCGTGATGATCCTCGGCGAGATTCCCAAATATTGAGTTCAAAGGCAATGGTGATAGCATAGAGGTATCAATGTCAAAGACTGTGGGGTTGAAAGTCGGTGATTCGGCTGATATAGAGGCGTTATGGTGATTGGCGTTAATATCTCCGTCAAAGACGAATGCATCTTGGTCTGGGGATAGACGGCGGAGAACGGCTTGAGTAAGTTTAGCAAAAGAGAGACCAGATGACGAGCCCAGATATCTCTCCGCTGCAGCCTCCAAAGAAAGGAGCCTTAGTTCTTCGGCCAAATCTTCGGTTTTGGGCCTCGAACGAGTCAGGTTATGGGGGGATATCGGCACGGCATCGGGACCGGGGACATCATTTCCATCAGGGCATTGTCGAGGCGGAGAGGATATTGGATTCTCCGGGATCAAAAATTCATCATCCAGATGGATGTCAGCCTCTTGGTCCCAGGGACATGACAGCGGGTCATTTTGGGAATTCTGGGGAGTCAAGGAAGAGGTGAGCTGTTGCTCTAATTCTTTGACCCGGAGCTCTAAGCTCCGTACGTAGCTAAAGAACGTTAGTTCTCTTCAGATCGCAATACTAGTCAACATTAATGCTTACGCGACAGGGTATGAGGCGACTTGGGTCTCATCCTCTAAAAAACTACACTCCACCTTGGCGTGCTGACATGCCTTACACGCCGGTAGTACTTTGTCGCAACGTTTCTTTCGGCGATGGCATCTTTTGCAGGAGCTCTCAGCCCTCGCACAATCAGTCATGACTGCGAGGAGGATCAAAGCCCCCGAGTCAACTCATGGCGGATTATGGGTGTAGTGCGGGGGGAGATAGGAGAGACGCTTTGCCCAATCCGAAAGGTTCAAGTCAAGATAAGGCTACGCTTGTACCATTTGCCTTCTTACGGGCTAGTTGTTCTATTACTGAGTAAACTTGATTCCTAGGGAAGTGAGGAATGTGCTGGAATTAATCATAAACACCAGATGTGTACAACTGCCTATGATGTGATGTTGGTCTTCAGGCCTAAATGGAACCGTTGAAGTACGACATATAAGGTATGGCCGGACTCCGATCATCCTCTCCATCTTAACCATTTACTATTTGGGGTAAAGTAGAGAGTTTCCCCGGTTATTTCGGTGCCACCGCGATCTATATCTCATCGGAGGTTCCGCTTTACCTGTGAAGGAGCCATTACAAAATATAAAGATAGGGATCCTCACTAAATTGATCTGGCTGAGCAAGCGGATCGTGATTTATCACTTTAATCTCATATCTATACTGAAAATTATGTCTCCCAACGGCCGATCATTCCTCCTTGACCCCCAAAAGGTCGCCGGACCTATGCGATATTCCCATGCGCGCGTGGTTCAACCTTCTACACACCACACAATTTACGTCTCTGGGATCGCAGCCGTAACTCCCGAGGGAGTTCTCGAGGGAGTCACCGAGAATCCAGACGGCAGCTTTACTGTCAATGTCCGCGAGCAAACAGCGGCCGTCCTTCGAAGAATCGAGAGCATCATCCAAGGCGCCTCACATGGGAAGGCAAATCTCTACAATATTGTGGATGCTACAGTCTACATTCTTGATATGAAGACTCAATATGCGGATATGAACGAGGAATGGAATAAGATCTGGTCCGACCGTGCCAGCGCTCCCTCGCGTGCCACCATTGGGGTTCGAGAACTTCCAGACCCTCGTTTCGCGGTGGAAATCAAGGCAACGGCCATCTTTGAGTTATAGTGGATAGCAAGCCGTTGGTGTATATATGAAAAGATAATTCCATGGGAGTTGTAACATAGTTCATCTGTCGGAATCTCCGACAGTTGATCGATCCCCACGAACATTACCAAAATTTCATTTATTCGCCAAAATACCAATTGAACTTCTTCTCGTGCTCTCAAATATCTACCGATTATGTCTCTTTATGATAGCACGGGGATTCAGTACTTCAAACTGAACAATTTCACCTTCATAGAGCAAACAACACTTCCGATTGCTCAAGTAGCATATCGGGAGTTCAACCCGACGTGCAAGAAGACTGCCTTGATTCCAACATGCTTTCGTGGACGAATCAATAACACCTGGAACTTTTCCAATGGCGCTTTGAAAGAATATCGGGTTATTGTGGTCGCATTATTCGGCAATGGCGAATCCTCTAGCCCATCCAACACGCCCAACTTTCCCTCATCGCTCGATTATAGAGACTGCGTCGAAGCCCAACACAAGCTCATCACCAATCATCTGAAAATATCTCATTTAGATGTTATGGTTGGCTTTTCTATGGGAGGCCAGTGTACCTACCATTGGGCAGCCATGTACCCGAAGATGGTTAGCAACGCAGTCGTAATCTGTTCATCTGCAAAGACGAGCTTGCACAACTATCAATTCCTCGAGGGGCCCAAGGCCGCTCTTTTGAACTCCATTGACTATGCGGATAAGTCTTTACGGTCTCGCAAACAACCACCTATCCGGGGCCTTCATGCATTTGGACGCGCATACTCTGCATGGCTGACGAGCGCCGAATGGTTTGAACAACGTCTTTTTGAATCTCAAGGCTTCAAAAATCTCCAAGACTGGGGAGCACACATCGGTGAAAAGAACTATGAGGATTGGGACCCCGATAATCTCTTGGTGATGGTCGGGATGTGGCAACGATCGGATCTTAGTCTCATTGGGGGTCAACAAGTTTCGCTTGTACAAGCACTCGGCGACTTGAAAACGAGGATACTTGTGATGCCATGTCAGACGGATCAATATTTTAAATGGGAGGCAAGCGAGAAGGAGGTCTCGTTTCTGGGAAAGGCAGTCTTGGCTGTCATCCCATCAATCTGGGGTCATCTTGCAGGCAGTGGATGCAACCCAGAAGACACTCGATGGATGGACGATAAAATCGCGGAATTTTTAAACTAGTCAAATCTTCAATGGCATTGGATAGAAGCCGTCCATGTACATAGGATGATCTCAACTACATATTCTCATACAAATTGCTCTAAGTTATCCATTACAAAACGTATTAACTGAGCCCACATCACTTGAATACCTAAATTTACCGTCAGAGGATTTACGTTCTTCCAATCCAAGTCAGAGACATTTGTCTACAATTATTCTCTTATCGTAGATTTGTAGTGATGTCATGGGTACGAACTGGGGCTGTCGGACTGTCCGATGTCCCATTCAACGTGAGGGGTTACTATCATCCATACATGGGCTTATCGAACTAGTCTTGCCAAGGAAGAGATTGCTGGAGACCGGCAACTGTGTTGAACTTCATCGTGTCTGTACGAACGATACTTAAAGCTGGGCTCCAGCCGTGACTTTCAGCTCGCACTTTGTTTAGGCACAAAGCTGACCAGACACAGCAATATGTCCACATTCCAACTTGAAGATAACTTGGCTCTTCTGGGCATTATCCCTCGAACCTATGCTCTAGTGCTCGTCCCATTGGCGCTGTACCTTGTCTATAAAGTGAGAACATCCATATTCGAATCGTTTCCAATTCCTTCGGACCTAACCTTAAATATGACAGTGGACACTGGCAACAGACATTCCCCATATCAAAGGATTACCCGAGATCCCAGGAGCAGTTCCCGTCTTTGGCCATCTCTTGAAGCTAGGTGAAGATCATGCAAGCGTTTGTGAAGGCTGGTGGCGGCAATATGGCCACTCTGTATTTCAGATCAAACTCGGCAACACCCGAGCGGTTGTGGTGAATTCGTTTGAGGATTGCAAGAAAATGATGCTTGGACATCAAAATGCGATCATCGACAGACCAAAGCTCTACACCTTTCACGGTGTTGTGAGCAGCACCCAAGGGTTTACGATTGGTTCTTCGCCGTGGGACGAGTCATGCAGAAAGAAAAGAAAGGCGGCTGGAACAGCGCTGGGAAGGCCGGCCCTACGAAATTACCACCCGATGTTTGATCTGGAGAGCTATTGTATCGTCCGTGACATTTATCGCGACAGTTCAAACGGTACCACCGAACTCAACATCCGACCTTATATCCAACGCTATGCTCTCAACACTACTTTGACCTTATGCTACGGTATTCGCATGGATGCCGTTTACGACGATCTCCTACGTGAAATTCTGCACGTCGGCTCTGCAATCTCACTGCTTCGAAGTGCGTCAGAGAATCTGCAAGACTATATCCCAATCCTCCGGTATCTTCCCAACAACGAAAAAACAGCGAGATCAAAGGGTCTCCGAGAGCGCCGCGATGCATACCTGAATCTTCTTCTCGACAAAGTGCGTGAAATGATCAAGAAAGGCACCGACAAGCCTTGTATTTCTGCTGCTATTCTGAAGGACGAAGAAACAAAGCTTTCGGGGGTCGAAGTCTCCTCGATCTGTCTCTCGCTTGTCTCTGGTGGCTTTGAGACGATTCCTGGAACTATGACTTCGGCGATTGGGTCTCTTTCTACGCCCGAGGGACAAATCTGGCAGGATCGGGCGTATGAAGACATCAAGAAGTACTATCCTGATATCCGGGAAGCTTGGACTGGTGCGATTCACGAGGAAAAGGTTCCCTATCTAAATGCAATCATCAAAGAGGCCGGGCGTTACTATACTGTCAGCTCAATGAGTCTTCCCCGAAAGACAGTGACCGAAGTGAACTGGAATGGGGCCATTATTCCTCCGAAAACCATGATCTTGATCAATGCACAGGCTGGTAATCACGGTAAGTTGATTCCTTTGCTTATAGCTCCCTTGTAGATCTTCTAATCATCCAATCCCCCAGATGTTGATCACTTCGGTCCTGATGGAGGGAAGTTTGACCCAGAGAGGTGGCTCCAGTCCATCAATCCCCCAGTGGAAAAAGAGGCTGCTGGCCTACCTCACCTAAGTTTCGGTGCTGGGTCGCGTGCATGCTCTGGCCAATTCATTGCCTCACGATTGCTCTATACCGCATTGCTTCGGCTCATCTCCTCCTACAAGATTGTGGCAAGTGTGACCAATCCACCCAATACCGATTATGTGGAGTACAACCAGTTTAAGACAGCCCTGGTTGCTATTCCCAAGGATTTCAAGGTCAAGCTTATTCCTAGGGATGACGCGATGACTAGTGAATGCCTGCATGCTGCTGAGCTTCGGACTAAGGAGCATTACAAGGAGTAATATTGAATAGCAATTTGTTGAAGTGAAATCCAGCATTTCCAAGTATATTTGAACAACTATTTAAGAAAGTATTTAAAGAAGTATTTGAACAAGCGTCTCAGTGGAAAATTGAATTTGTACCCAATGCACGAAAATAAACTGGCATCTTTCATTTCGTACTTGAAATCTTACCCCAAAGAAAAGGTATTTCTTCTATGCCAAATTTAACGTTTTGAATGCGTAGCCTTTCACCGCAATATGAGCTTTTCGGATGGGCCGACAGTCACGTTGACACCTCCCCGCTTGAAGAGCTTCAACAGTGCTATATTTTGTTTGCAGCGATTCGCCATAGTTAAAGAGAATTGATCATATCTTTTTATGTATTAAGTATGGCCTCTTTGGGAGTCCTTGATTTGTTCAACGTGAAAGGTAGGGTGGCTGTGGTCACAGGGGGAAGCAGTGGGTTAGGGCTTATGATTTGCAAGGTTGGTTCTCATCATGATCTTTTCTGATCCTCAGGTTAACGTACTATAGGGACTGGTGACGAATGGTGCCAGAGTCTACGTGGTCGCTCTTCCAACCGACCCAATAACGGAGACGGTCGACGCACTGAATGAGTTGGGAAAAG